AGTTTTTTTTCCGGGGGGGGGGGAGGGGGGGGGGTGCCGTGCACAGTACCATCAGATATTGAAACCGCAGTCAAGAACGTCACGCTGCTGTGTGAAAAGTGAATGGCTGTTCTTGTGTATTTGTTACATCTGTAGTTCATTCCAGAAGAATTCGTACGCTAATAGCCTAGCCTGTTCCTCCTCATCTTCCGCGTCGTCGTCGTGCTGTAGCAAGTGCGTACAAGAAGCACAGTATTATAGTCATCACCGACAACGGTCTCGGTGGGATGGAGAAAACACACAACCCTGTGACCCCGAAAGCGTGTTCGCGTTTTATGGTTCCGCTATTACTAGTAGACTGCCCCCGTGTTATCGAGTATTGCCCAATGCCTGATCTACTGTTATCGAGCTCTGTTGTAGGGAGCGAAGGAAAAAGTCTTGATTGACGGATTGGGATCAAGCATGCGAGAGCCCTGCACTCGGAGCGGCACTTTGCCGATCCAACCGAGGGTTGTAGGTGCAACGCTTCGATCTTCTTGTTTGGGGATAAGAAGACTCTTGGAGAGTAACCCTTAAGGTGGCGTGCCTGCTGTACGGGGGGTGGAGTCTTGCCGACATAGGGTCCCCTTTCTCACCGTAATCGTTGTTTGCAGACGGAGTCAAGTGAGAGAGGAACGCGGGGAGACGTTTGCTGCGAGATGTACTTGGATATTTCGTCCAGCGGTCTCACCACCAACACTACCGCTGCTGTACCCAAACCGTCACCCGGAAGGCCCGCGGCCCATCCATGTGCACCCCAAGAGCCAGGCGTCGACTACTGGTGTCATGTGGTTTGGCAAAACGCTCAGCTTGCGTTCCAACATAGTTGCGTTGCGTCCTTGGCAGTGCACGCGGCTGCACGACACGAACCTCTCCCCCCACTCACATTTCTCCCGTGCGCTTCTTGAGCCCCGCTCGCACGACGCAGCCCATGGCGGCCGTGCCCAGCTCACCCGGTTGAACCTGGCGGAGCATCAGAAGAAAAGGGAGTGCTATTGATGTAAGCAGCGCAAAGAAAGAGGGCCAATTAACGCCGCCACCGCCCCCGCCGCCGCCGAGTTTCAAAAACGTATACAGATTCAACACATGGGGGGATGGATAGGTCACTGCGCGCAAGAGGGAGGAGCAGGGGGGCGAGGAAGAAGAAGAGGCGCGGGCACAGATAGATGTACGACTCCCGCCGCAACACTTCCACCAGTGCTCAGACGTTTCTACACCATTTTTCCTGCAAGCAGGGTTGCTTTTTGCCTTGACCCGAGGTGACTTCCGCCGTTGCTGCTGCTGCTGTTGCTGCTGCTGCTGCTGCTGCTACTGCTACTGCTGCTGTGAGGGCACCCTTTCCAGCTGTGATACACTCCGATGAAACACTCCACGGATGTCGTCACGGAATGGATTTTGAGAACAGAACGAAAACCTACATATATATATGCATGCGACCGGCGTGGTGAAAACTGGCCAACGCCCATAGCAGGAACATATGTTGTTTTGCACGCTCTACTTGTACATGACCGAACTTACCGTACGTGAAAAACCACGTGCCATCCCCTTCAATAGACGTGGCCTCTTGAAGCAACATCCCGCAACATCGAATCTACAGGTTTAACACCGCGGAAGAGGTGTGCACGAAGTGCTGCTGTACCCCATGTATGCGCATGTATACATAACATAGGTTGCATGAGATACCACACCCCCTTTGGACTGATTTCCAAGGCTCGAGTACGCTGCAGCGAGAACAGTGACGACGCCGAATATGGCGGAGTAAACCGTGTACATACATCGTGGAGAGCTTCCGAAAACGCATTTGACAGTAGCATCCTCTTTGTCGCCGTGAGGTAATCGGGCTTTGAAAATCGGTTCAAGGGGGTGTGGTATCTTACGTCATGTCACCTACGAAGTACAACACATCCCAACTAGAATTGCCCACTACTCAACAAGCACGGCGAGTTCGCCTGCGGGTGACAAACTGACTGCACACGGGATTCAAAATGTTCCAATGTTCTATTCACAGGTTGGTGTCAGGACAGCTATGATATGTAGCTACATACCGACTCACTACCGGGAGCACCCGTTCTACATGAAGACCGACACAGCAGTAGCGGTAGCAGAACAACATGCTTTGCCATGGGGGGGAAAGCGACCTCATCCTGCTGTTCATACATACAATTACCTCATAGGTCTCGTGAAAGCGGTCCCCCTTGCTAGCCTTGAGCATGTTGTACCGAAGGTCTCCGCCCGCGCCCTTGGACGAGGCGGGGCTCAAGTCGGTGCAACCCCCTCCCTTATTGTTGGTGCCGCCACCGTAGTCCCCCGTGGGTCCTCCCGCAGAGGCTCCGGCGGCATCACTCTTGGACGAGCATACGCCCATGGTGCCCTCTCGTAGATACAGGCAGGCGCTTTCGCGTAGATTGGTTCTGTCGTTATACTCCTTTATTTGAACGTAAGACGTGTATCATACAAACGCGACGTGTAGGAGGGGATGGGGAAAAAAAAGTTGGGTTATTTAGTGATGCTGTCGCTGTGTAAGGTGGTGACGGCCGAAAAAAACTGCTCTATTCGTCACCAGGCTGTTGTACAGATGTACACCGCAATGGATGTTACACGGCAACCTTTTGCTGCTGGAGCTGCTGCTGCTTCGGACATCGATGCAGTGTTGTTGCGTATTTCCGTCGTGTGCGGCCGATGAAGCACCTCGTTATCAAGTGTGGACATCGGCGGCAGCCACCCCACATGGAGAGATCTACCGTTCACGTTTGAGGGTCTTGCAGGTGCCGCCTGATGTCTGCAGCACTGTGGCACTAACAACTGCAGCAGTCACACATGATGTCTCTGCTGCTGCTGTGTGACTTATAATACATCATCACCCGGGAGGGTAAGTTGAACGTAGGTTCGGCGCAATCATGCTCGTTTGTTGTGCCCGAGAGCAGACGACTATGGGGTTGAAGGAAGCACACAACCACAAGATCGTCTAAAATCAATAGCAATCCGCTGACTGACCTTCACCGCGTGCGTCAAGGGGGGTCGAGAAGGCACGTCCTTGCTGGGAGAGCCGCGCGGGCGGCCGAACCGCGCGCTAAAAAACAGAGGTTCCGGGAGTTCCAATGGAAACAAGCGGGATACCTCTGTCATACGTAATAATTCCAGAATTCCCGCGCAAAAATGGCAGCTGCTGCAGGAAGCGAGAGCAAGAGACAGGAGACAGACTCACGAAAATATGCCGATGCCCATCGTATAGCTCACCACGCCTAGAGCATTTGACGCAAACCAGGCGCGGTGCATGTTCCAGATCGCGCGGGGTACCTGTAGCTGGGAGTGAAGCTCTTGCAGGTATTTCGAACACACAAGCCGAGTTTGGCTGGCGCGCACGATGGTGACATGGAGATGTGGGCACCCCGGATGCGGGAAGCACTCGTCGTACGGCGTCAAGGGCACAAAAGAACGGGAATTCTGCGGCCGGCATGCTAAGATGGGGATGGTGGACGTCCGAAGCAAGAGGTGCGGCCACCCTGGCTGCGAGAAGCACCCATCCTACGGAGCTGAGGGCACAAAAAGGGCCGAGTTCTGTGCCTCGCACGCGGCGGAAGGGATGGTGAACGTCAGTAACAAGAGGTGAGGTCCAGCTAGCCACCCCCTTCGTGTTTCTTATGCACTCGTGTGGTTCAAGAATACGTCTGTTTTAGGTTGTTACCCGACAGCAAGGAGCGTACCAGTACATGTCTTTCATGCGCAAGAATAGGAGCTACGGCTCTCAAAGCCCATCGTCGTCTCCGCAGCCGCGCCTCTTGCGGGCTTGGCTAGTCCTCGAATTCACATATCCGGCGGCCCTTTGCACCAGCCCACCCCACCGCGCCCAGCTGTTCGCTGGAAGCGCCCAGCTGTTCGCGGCAACACCCAAACGGTATCTAGATGAACGACGGCTTCGCCTAGTTCGGTGCACATTGTTGCAAGACCTTGCCCCCTTGACACGACGGTCCCGCAGGAACTATGGAGAGACCGTCGTCGTGGAAAGCCTCACATGTGTGTGTGTGTGTGCAAATAAATGTTCTCTTCTTGTTGCTCTAGCCAACTTGAAGTACCTCTCGGGGGCCTGAATGTGAAACCTGTTGTTGAACGGGAGCCACTATTGTACGTCTTGAAACTCGGCCTTTGGGTGGTGCACTGCCGCCCTCTCTGCTCGACCCTGAAATTGTTGTGTACTTCCCCTGGTCTCACAGAGTTACTGTAGTTTTCGTCTTTCTCGAATCTCGCCAAACGCCGACGTTTCCAACACCCGTACGTTAAACGTATGTATCCATACAGGCATGAGATCCACAGCAGTCTACACACAGTATCTTAAATTTTGTTTGTCCGGGGTCCGCTCTCGATTTCGCATTCCAGGTGTGGGCACCCGCGTTGCACCACGCGGGCGAGCTTCGGCGCAGAAGGATCGAGGAAAGCAGAATTCTGTTCGCGACACGCGAAGGATGGGATGGTGGACGTCTGGAGCAAGAGAGGTCGGTGCACCTACCAGGGCTGCGCCACGCGGGCGCACTTCGGCTTCGATGGCTGCAGGAAGGCAGAATTCTGTTCGCGACACGCGAAGGACGGTATGGTGGACTTCAGGACCAAGAAGCACGGCCGCGAAATTATTTCTGTGTCCGAGCAAGGGCCGCCCAGCGAGGGACAGAGGGGAATGATGCACGAACTTTTTGGTGGTGGCCAGAGCGTCTCCTCAGGACCAACTTCGACAGGAACGGGTAATAGGGGCAGCAGCAGCAGCAGTGGCGGTACGGATCGGTTCGCCGACGAACGAGCTCCGGCGGAGGAGAGGGAGGAGACAGCCGCTGCGGCTTGGCTGTTCATGGGGCTAAGGATGAAGAAGAGGGTTGCTGACGATGTTGGATTATAATGCGCCCCCCGAGGTTTCGCGTAGCGCAGGGCATGCAGCGCAGTTCGGGCGGCCTGTGCCAGGTTCCGTGGCGCCGGCGCGGGATGAAGATGTGATTCCGGTGAGGGCGGGACGATGATGGTGGGGGGTTTAGGCGGCGGCGGCTGTTTTTATCCGTGGTGCAAAAGTATTTTGTCTGCCACCGGTAAGGCGTTCGCGCCCCTGTAGTTCTCTACTGGATCCATACAGGCATGAGATCGACAGCAGTCTACACACAGGGGAATTTGGAATGTTGTTCTTGGCTTAGGGTTGTCGAGCTTGTTCCTCGAGTGTACTCTAGTCAAATTAATCATGTACAAATGTTCTGCCACGTTTTCCTGTGTTGATCTGTGGAGATATTTTGCTTTGTTCTGCCGTGTGACGAAACTTCGGGTGCGTCGCTTGATTAGCGGAGTAATTCGTTCCATTTGAGTTGCGATGCACTTGATTGAGTTGCTCATGTTCCTGCGTAAAGGCACGCGCCTCTCTTTCTGTCGGAAGCGACTGCACCTACAGCGGTACCCATAGTTCGGTGACATGCTAGGCGTTTGGCTGGGTACAACTGCGCGATACGGACCGGTTGATATTGTGGAAATGGTGAGCACTGCTGTGTGACGACCATGGGATGGAGACTAATGTTGCCCGCCCGAATGACTTCCGACGACTCCCACCGCACGTTGTTCTCCGAGCATAAGCTGTCTGAGGCGCTACCGACGATTTCGTCCGCAGGACTGCAGGAAATGTAGCAGGAGTTTGTATTTTGGAGCTGATTTCGAGTACGGGTAGACGTGTTGTGCGGAAACTCCGTAATTAGGAATATGAGACGGGAGGTATGTAGAGAAACGAAGTGAGTAAATAGGTTTAGGTAACTGTGAAATTGTTTTGTTTTCTCAGGTTTTGCTCTACAGGCTCAACGATCTTTCGCTTGTGTGTGTGGTGGTACAGCAGTCCGAAGTTCACACATCTGGTAGGTGGGGTTTGTGTTATGTATTTTTTGTTATAAGCATTAAGTTTGTCGTGGCTGTGGGTTTGGTGGTGGTGCTGGTGCTGGTGCTGCCGCACGCGCTTGGTTTTGCCGAGTGTTGAGTGAGGAGATATGCATAGAAGTATACAATCAACGTGATTGGTTCGGCGGTGTCGCATCGTGACATACCCGTGTGCTTGGGAGGATACCAGTGCTCCTCGTTTGGACACTTTCAGTTCACTCGCCGTATGTACCATGTACGGTGCACCGGTTCCTTTTTTTTTGCAAGCACTCAGCTGTGGAGTACGAATGTTACGTGCTGGACACACCTCCTGCGGCACAACCCAGCCCGGCAGTGTCACAAAGGTGGCTGACAGCTGCTGTATGGTATGGACTAAAATCGAAGTCCTCTCCTATGGTGTGGAGGCTTACAATGAACAACTGAAAAGTGGCACAGCAGGAGTGGCCTACGAACGACAACGAGGCACGCCTTTTCGTGAAGGAGTTGTTGCATTGCTCTCTCCCTCTATTGTAGTATTCGCAAGTGTTCTCTGTGCGCTCATCATCAATTGCATCAGAAGAGAGGCAGAGGAAGTTAGGGTATGCTTAAATCAAAACTCTCCACGTTATTTATTGCTGTGAAGCTAGACCTATCGTGGTCTGCTTGAACTTGGGGGGGGCTTGTGGTGGTGAGAGCACATGGAGATAAGGCAGTAATAGATGTTGGAGGTGTGGTTATAAAACCATGTATGTACTTCATCTCTCCCCTAAAAAAAAAGCCTCTGGGCCGCGTTGTCGGCAACACCCCTTTGAAATGTTTGTTTATCGCTTCCCTAGTTTCCCTGCGCGGCGCAATATTCTTTTCGCTCCACCCCAAACAATGTGCGATCCAATGCTCGATCTCTTGTCACTCTCCCACAGACCCAAATGCTTGCTACAAGTCGGCGCCCGACTCTCCCACGCGGCACTATGCATACAACAGGATCCGTTTGTGCTATAAAACGCGCGGATTGTTTTTGATCGTGAAGCACACAAATACCCTACCAGTCCGTCGGTGTACCAGCACATTGGTGTAATTCCTTCCCTTCTCGAAGCCCCAGTCAGCCAGTCCCCTGAAACTGGAACGTCAAATACCTCAATAATGACCCCGTTTGGGTTGAACATCTATCTACAGAACTCTGCCTTTTGCGGCGCAATACGTGCGTCGTACGTGTATGCCCGGTATCTGTCGATGGGCCAGTCGAAATCTAGCGTGGTTCATCGCTACATCATTCGTGTCGTTCAATACAATACAGCAGTAGCCTCAGCGGGAAAAACAAGCTGTGGGGAAGCAACACGCGACGAGGTCCGTCCGAACTGTACGGGGCCCGGCGCACGAGATTGCACGCATGTGTGTACCTAGGATACCTACCTGTGTAGGAGACAGATAAAATCTGTATATCCCATCCACTCCACAGGCCCCCGCTGTTGCTACCACACGACACACGCACCCTTCACCTCACTCCATTCCCTCCTTTCCTCCTCGTGCTGTAGTAGTCTACCTTTGTCAAAGTAGGTTGAAAGGGTAGTAGCATAGGAAGCGACCGGAGTTTCGCCGAGCGGGGTGAGGTTGCGCGGGCAGCGGGATGGTAAAACGAAAATGCAGTCAGGACGGCTGCAGCACCGACGCGAGCTACGCCTACGGTTTGGAAGGGTCGAAGACCGCCAAGTATTGCGCCCGCCACGCGGCGAACGGGATGATAAACGTTTATAGCAAGAAGAGGTGCAGCCACCCAAGTTGCACCATGGTCCCGTCTTTCGCGGGGAAAGGCAGTAGCAAGCCGGAGCTCTGCAGCCAGCACGCGGAGGAAGGGATGGTCGACCTCGTCAGCTACCGGAGATGGTGCCAAGAACCAGGTTGCAACGCGCAAGCGTACTTCGGCGCGTCAAGCGACGCTAGCAAGGCGGAATTCTGTACCAAGCACGCTCGGGAGGGGATGGTCAACACCCGGAGCGGGACAATCAACAGAAACAAGAGTTGCGAGGACCCAGGTTGCACCTCGGGAGCGACCTACGGCATGGATCCCACCAAGAAGCCAGAGTTCTGTTCGCGACACAAGACGGACGGGATGGTGAACTTGTCCCGTAAACGGTGCTCCTACTCGGGCTGCACCATCCGTGCTACGTACGGCGTCGACGGGTCCAAGAAGGGGGAATTCTGTTCGGTGCACGCCCGGGACGGTATGGTTGATGTTACGAGCACGAGGTGCAATCAACCGGGCTGTAGGACGCAACCGATGTTTGGCGTAGCGGGGGGGAAAGCGGAGTTCTGCGTTCGACACATGAAAGACGGGATGATTAACATCCGGTCGAACACGTGCGGTCACCCGGATTGCACCACGCGAGCGAGTTACGGAAAAGACGACCACATCAAGAAGGCAGAGTTCTGCGCCCGCCACGCTCAGGTGATGTACGAAAGAAAGCTCTGCTTGGCTATCTACATGTAGTTCTGGTTGGGACCCAAACAACCAATCAAACGCAGAGCAATGCGACTCTACACTACCAAGGTTTTGCGCTAGGTTTGAGGTTCTTGTCTCTTATGGATGCTCGATTGCCTCTGCGGATGTCGTCGAGAACACATGACGGTTGAGGAAACTTGTCATGGGTTCGTCTCTCTGCTGCTGCACTCAACACCTGCAGACCAACACAGTGCTGCACCTGAATAAGGGACAAAAATAGAGGAGGAAAAACAAGATCGGTTTACACAGAAGAGCAGCACTACGGGCTTTACATCCACCCAAGGCTAAAGGCTTACAGCAGTAGACTATCCCAATATCTATTTAGGGAACCAAGATTTGCCAAATTCCATCCACTGTGTAGGCTTCCTACTTGACGGCGCCAACCCTCAGCCTCCCGTCGCGTTGACCATACTGTACGGCGTGGCCGCCCATATGGACCCCACCATTTCCAGCATCTGGTCTTGTGTCACCACACCCCCTCCTTCAATAGCCGCATCAAACATGTTCAGCATGAATGCCTTGAACTCTCCCCCCCCGGGTAGGCGTTGCCTACGGAATCCTTCAGTGCCGACGACCTCCCTTGGCTCTTTGTGGCCTTGTTGGTGCTGTTCCTAGCCGGGATGGAGAATATCTTCTTCTTGGTCGAGCCTTTTAGTATTTTTCTTCTTGAAGACGTAGTGCAGGATACACTCTCGCATTGTCGCGTTAGCCTTAGCTGGCGCATCGAGAATCTCTTGCCACTTGACCGGCGGAAACACTCTCCAGTCCAACGCCGCGACCTTTTATTTGCCACCGTCGCCTTAAATGCCGGGCTCTCTCTCAAGCAGTCGGTCGCCGCCCTGACTGCTGGCGTACCTTCCACTGACAACTCTCTGCATCGGTCCCTTTCCGTGCGTGGTTTCTCGATAAAATGCCAGCCTTTCTATCGTGCTCGAAAGGATCCTTTCGTCAACGTCTTGTAGACACGATTGGCCACCTCCTGCCTCTCGTTCAAGCCGATTCGCGCAAACGTATCAGGGCTGAGTGAGACGGAGAATAGGTCGGATACGACCCTCATATCCGCAGCCGAATAACGCGACACCTCCGCCAGGTAATCTACCACGAATAATTGGTTCGTACGTGTCTTTGCCGGTGATGTAGAAGATGGGGGCGATACGGCGAAGGGCATCAAGCCTCAGCCTGAAGTTACCCGTACGCAGGGTAGTCGTGGAGGAAGAACAGCTTCCACACTGCGAAAGTCTTGTGAGCCACCGCCCGTGTCTCTGTCTACTGAATCACCCCTTTGACCACCTCGCCATCTTCCACTGGCCAGTCACCTGGCGTCGGAAACCTCTTCAAGTATTCCTCTCGACACAGAGCCATAAACGTCGCCCAAAACGCCGTGATGTGATGGTGTGCCCGGCGGTAGTTGCTCCCCTCCCCCGACTTCGACCCGTCTGTGTCCAAATCCTTCGCCACGAACTCCACGGCAGCACCCCAGTGTACCGCCTAAGCATCGCCTTGGCCATATGCAACAGCAAATGCCAATCGCCGGGTGGCGACGGACTTGTCAGTACTCGCGCGGCTTTGGTGCCATGGTACATGTGTTTGTATGTCTCCTCGTCCCCACCGAGTGTGAATGGTGCACCATCCGGCTGGGGTCCCACGCCAGATACCAAGTATGCGCTGGATGGCTGCCTTCATATCGCTGAAGCTCTAACCCTTCTGGATGAACGCGTATCGCAGTTGCTGCGGCGATTTGCCCTCGGGCGTGATGGCCTGCGCGTTCAATGAATAATACGAGGGGCGCGACTCAGAGTCGACGAACGCCACATGCCATTGGGTAGTAGTATACGTTCAATGGAAAAGCTAGGTCATGGAAAAACCGGAATCGCAGGAAGAAAATAAGAAAATAGTGTCTTGCCATGCGGAGTTCAGACTCGACGCATGTGTCTGGCCCAGACCTGTCGGAGTTGTTCCGCGCCTCAGCGACTACGCCGCGGAAGAGTTCCGCCAAAAACTCGTTATACCGCCGTGCTTGCTCCTCCCGGTCCGGCTCCGGCCCCATCATCATGACGTTCTTCACCGTAAGAGATCCCAGGCTCCTTTCCAACGACCAGTCGTCCATTCGACCTATGTCGGACCCTACCGTCAAGGCCGCCGCAGCGATGAAGGGAAGATGAGGCCCCTCCCCTTGGCCAACTCCGACCCTCGGGTCAAAATCACAGTTGTCCAGGGGAATGGCGGCGCACTAGGCGTCCTCGCTCAGAAGGTCCTTGTCCTTTACAAACCTCGCGTGGAAATCTTCTCGGTGCTGAGTTTGTGACGTCGTCGCCCACAAACCGTGCTCCGCAACGAAGTTGATCACCTCCCGACACGTACCCTTAGACTTTGCCCACTGAGTACGTTTGATGTCGTGCGAAGCCATGTGCGAACCACGCAAAATGGCCTTCACCACTACCACACACATCACTAGAAGCCTACGATGCGTAGATCGCCTGTCGCGGTTAAGACTGTCGATATGCTTGGCCTGTTCCTCCGTTCGTGGCCCTAACAACATCGTCACTGTTCCTTGACTGACCTCGTTCCTCTTTTCTCCATCACCGTCCTCGCCCTCCCCGCCTCCCGAGGTGGTAGGGTGCCGTCCGTCTCGCCCTGCGATCTGCCACACCCAGGGCTTTCCAGGATCTTGGGTCTCTGATGCGGTGATCTCGCGATCCAGGGGCATCTCCGTCATGCTTTAGTATCATCCAACCAAGGCCGGAGGAAACGCAGATGGTAGATTCTCTCTGGGGGTCTTCACTTTCATGCCCGACTCATCGGCGTAGCGATGCTTCTCGCGTGTCCCGGGGGTGTTCTTACGGGCAGTCTCACTCTCCACGTCGGCTCGAACAATTCTGCCAGCTGCCCGCACGACGTCTATCCTTGCGTCTGCGTCCTCCATGTCCTTCTGGACTTGCTTCAGGATCGACTCGAGAGACCCCTCCTTATCCACTGTCGGGTTGTTTAGTGGCTGTGCGGGTGCGTTACGGTGATCACGCAGCATTAAATCAACGAGATGCTCGTCCCGAAGCAAGTTTGGGAAGAGGCAGACTTCCCGCTCGCGCGCGTCTCTCTTTGCTCCATCGACTCTTGACTAATCGTGAGTTGCTCCCGGTCGCCGCGGCTATGCTGGTAAACAAGTCCAGGACGAGTTTTCTTGTGTATCTCCCTTGTGACTCCTCCATACCAACCTTCACGCTTTCAGAAGCTAGCCAACTGTCGACGTCCTGCTAGTAAAGGATCTCACCTCGACCGAGGACTTCATCCACCATCGCGCCCACCGTGTCAAACGGTGCTGGAGGCGTCGGCGCCTCGCCCCCCCGATCCACATGCAGTGTTGCTGGGTGCTCTGGCTGCTCTTGATGCTACCGGTTCTGATAGCAACGGCCGCACCACCAATCACCATCGCTCACTGCTGCACCCCACACCGCGACATGATCACCTGCAGCATCCATGGGATACCACCGTACGCGGCTTTTGTCCGATTTCCGGTACCCATAATTTGCCGCATTGGCGAAACTCTGCCTTCCTCCTCGGCAAAAAAAGGTAGGAAGCAGTCTGGCCGTTGTCGGATGCAGTCCTGGCTGGACCTAAAGTCTCGTACAAGAGCTAGAGGCAGGGGTTTCTCTTTTGTGTCCACGCGGCCACGAAAACTGCTGCTCGCCCTAATTGGTCCGGGCGGAGGTGCGTGAAACTTCTGTCTTTTGGAGACCTATGGCATGCTGAACATAGCCTCTCGTTTTACGAGTGCACCACACTCCCGGGGCATACACTCGGTGCCAGGGTTGTGTGTAACCCATCCGCATTCCAAGCGCTCGCACGCCTTTTTTGCGCTTCTTGCCTGTTGGTTGGCCTACAGATAGCACCGCTGGGGTAGAAAGTCTCCTACCCGCATTACCCTTGCTTGGCTGATGACCGGCTTGTCTTGGGTTCCCGCCGTGACTCCTACGCCGAGAATCAACGCGGTGATTCCCCCCGGCCTCTGATTTCCGCCGTTCGTCTTCGGCAATCGCGCGATCTTTTCGGGCCTTTGCCTCCCTCCTCCCCTAGCTCTGTTGCTTGTAGTAGTCCCCCTCCGCGAGCTTGCTCTCAAGAGCGGGTAGGCCACCCGTATCCCTAACAGAGGTCCTGCTCCTGCGTTTCTTGCCCGACCGGGTCTTTCCTCCCGTCCGACGGACGCGTGTGCCGGAATCTCTCGCGTCGCGCTTTTGGCGGCAATGGGGGTGCGCACCTCTCCTGCTCCCGCTCCATGGACGATCACTTGCGATGTCTCCTCCTGTGTTGTTGACCATTGGTTGACGCGGGGTTAGCGTGCCTCCCGTGAGCTGGCGAAGGGTTAGTAATGGCTGCATACCCCCGCTTCCGGGTGTAGCAGGGCTCCCAGGCTGGTTCCGAGGCAATGCCGGCGGCGTACCCGGTTGAGCTGCGGGGCTGTTCACCGGGCCCCGCCTACGTCTCCGACGGTTCATCTGGCAGCAGCTCGACCAATGCCGGCCGTTTTTCCATGCTTTAAATACCTGACCAGGGTATACCACAAAAATGACGAAATGTTACGTTGCACGTACAGCTTACGCAGGCGCACGCCTATTCGTGGTGTGGGCTCTTGGTTGCCTCTTGACAGCCATGCAGTAGATCTCATCCTCTGTACGGGCATGCTTATGCACCCGAGAACGTGACGGACTGGAACATCTTTAACTTCGTAGTTTATATTCCTGACTCTGTGATGCTGCGGCTTTTTGCTCTTCATGCACGGTCTGGAGTGCATGTAGCTGAGCGCCCCGGGTCATTTTCGGCTCGTATATTGGCAAAGCACCGAGAACAATTTCACCTTGAAGACAGTCGTACTTGCCCTCTTGAAGCCCAAGTTACCTAAAACTTGTTGTGACAGTCTTGTCCTGAGCTGGCATTTTTGTATCGGGCATTTCCGTCTTATCTTGGGGTGGGAATGGTGTATCCAGTGGATGTACATGCGCAACATGCAAGAGGGTGCGTTCGGACCCAAGGCGTGGGCTATCCTGAAATTTGAATTTTGAACACACCATGATTATCCCCTGCCACACATAATCGCCTCAACCTTTTGCAATAGGCGGCAATACAACATACGTCTATGGCGGCAGCATAATTAGGCTGCAAAACAGCTACCTCGCGCAGAGGTCGGTTCGCGTATGAAGCTCGCTCCCTGATCTTGGAGCTGCTGCATGGCGGTACGCTCCAGCTATTGTAAAGTCCAAAATGTTCACCCTGCCGTCCGTAACTGGACGTATAAAACATCCTGATGTGCCCTGGCATCTTGTTTACATACCTCTGTTGAAAACTGGGCAGTGTAGCCTCTCGTTCGTCCTCTAGAGCCGGTGCTAGGTGCGGAGGTCTGTTGCCGAGTGAACCGTGTTGCCGAACGAACCGCCTGATCACGGGGGTTTCCACACGGGGCTGCTTTCCCGTTGAAGTTTTTTCCTACTTCCTTTTTTTTTTCAGCCGTGCAGCTCTGAACACTGTTACTGTTCAATCCATCCACGCACACACATGCTGAACTCAACCTCTGCTTCGATCTCTGCAACCGAACTGCTTTTCAACGCATGCCCGCTTGACCTTTGCCACTTGCCCGGTTAGATATATCTTCTCTGAACTCGTGGGGCTGCCACACGGCCAATTTCATGCAAACCCACACGCCATCTCGGAAAATAGCTAAGTACGCCGCGTCTGAACGCCATCACACCAGAAAGCGGGGACAAGGTTCGAACAACCCCTGAAAAAATCCTACTTCGTACCACACAGGTCGGTATGATTCACGTCCGGGCCAAGACGTGCGACCACGTGGGTTGTACTACGCGAGCTAATTTCGGCGTCCCCGGTAGCAAGAAGGCTGAGTTCTGCAGCCGGCACGCCGAGGACGGGATGGTCGACCTCGGCAGGAACACGTGCGGCCACTTCGGCTGTTTACGAACGCCCTCGTACGGCGTCGAGGGGTCCCAAACGAGGGAGTTTTGCCAGCGGCACGCTAAGGCCGGCATGGTGAACGTCAAAACAAAGGGTGGTTCAAAACGGCCTAAGCCATCATCCGGCGTGCACCGTGCGGTCAAGCAGGAGCTGCGTGACCAGCATGTCTCGGGATCGACTTCGACGGCGGGTACAAGCGGCAGAGACAGCTTGGGGGTTGCGAAGCGACCTCGCACGACCGCGGTTAGTGACCCCGCAGAGGAAATGACCGCAGCCGCGGGACCGTTCATGGGGTTTGGAAGGAGGTGCAGTTAGAGAGCAGTACATATGGTGATAAATACTTGGTGACAAGGAGCACGTATACGTTCTGCTGCGATGACGAGGGAGCTCTAGGCGGTGGCGATGGGTGTCGGAAGACTTTACTTGGGAGTGGGTGGGCACGAGGGGGGACAGCAGCGGGGAGGGCATGGAGGACGACCATGCCAGGGAAGAAGACGATTGCGGCAAGTTTGGATTTTCACCCAGTTTTGTAGAAACCATGTTTTGGACAAAAGCCATCATCAGGCATATTAGTTCACCAATACCTGGTATGCATTGGCTTTTCAGTATTATTGGCACCTATTGTTGATCCCGGTAGGCGTTCAATTGATAGACAATTTTACTGCTGAATAGTCGACGTATTGTTCTCCCATGTGTATTAATCGGTTACAGGTGTAACCTGTTGTTCTCTGCACGAAGTATTGGTCGAGTACGCACAACCACACGTCGGAGTTCATGGCGGATTTCGAGAGAAGACATACAATATGGTAGTGATACGCATACAATATGTTAGTGTTACTACGAATTACAACATACCGAAGTAGAGGGACATCTTGACAAGGGCATGGCAAAACCACAGGAGTTGACTGCACCCGCCATGCAGAATGAGATTTCTCCTCTATTGCTTCAAGAATACTACTGCTGTGGGTATTTTGTTTGGTCAACACGTGGTGGTCGTGTTTCTCGGTTGCGGGGTGATACCTTGTGCGGAATGCGGTACCCACGCATGCTGTTGTGCTGTGCCGCATCGCGCGCGCATCGTTGCCCTTGACGCGTGGTGTTCCGGCGGGAGGATGCCTCCAATTTACTGGGTTTTTTTTCGTTTCGGCACCAATTCGTTTGGACTCTAATAAACTTGCAAGGTTCAACACGATCCGACCCACCGAACCATCGCGATGTTGTTCATACATTCAACCTGTCAAATATCTTGCTCGTGCGAGATTTTTCTTTTCTTTTTTTTTTCCTGTCGCGCGCCGTCCGCGCGAAACGCTGAACTGTTCCGCAGCACGCCCCAGGACACGCGGTACATGGTGTTCAACACTGGGCACAGCAGGCTGAACGGCATCCCACACACACTCACCGATGTGTTCGACGAGAAAGTTTGCACGCACACCATCATGCAGGAGGTATGCATGGCACTCGCGAGGCATTGCCCCTTTTATTTCTTGGATGGACCGCTGGTTGTTCAACAAATTTCCGGACGATGACAGTAGCGCCTTGCTGTTTTACATTATTGCTGTATCGGGGTCTTGACTGTGATGGTTATTCTCCTGAAGGCATACGCATCTACACACGGAAAGACAAGGGCCAGATGACGCCTACACCAAACACCTGTTGGCTCCCGCCAGTGGCTGCCTCCTAGAACATGCAGTGCTGTGGTTCTCCCGCTACACGAGAGCCTGTGTGCGCAAGTAATTTTGTCTGTTGCACGGACGTTCTGCTCTGCTTGCTTGTTTACCTAAGGATGGATGCGCTGAGGAGAGACATCAGCCTGTCTTGTCTCGATGTCTGCCCCCACACCGTTTTTGGAGCCGTTGAAAATGAAGATCTGCTCGCTCCGGTCGGTCGTGCAATATGTGTGTGTCCGTATGCCCGTGCCTTGTTTTCCGTTTCCCTCGAAATCAGCTTTCCGCGCACCGATTGAAAACTATCAGTGCGGCCTCTGCCTGAAGAGACTCGCGGGCCCCGCTGATGACTAGACCTGGGATCTCGTCGACAACAGCAACCGCTGTACGTTCAAGGACCTTGAACACAGGCACACCATTCGGCGAACTTCACCACCGATTGGTGTGAATCTTCACTGATAGGTGTGTGATTGTCTTGTGCAGGCCCTTGACTATAGCGCGGTCGCCCTAGTCGAAGATGCCGATTGCATTCGATCTCAGGCGTTTACGCACGTGGTCATTCGGCTCTCTGTTTTTGGAGCCTTGAGTGCCATCTGTGGTCGAATAACGTGGATGTGTTGGTTCTTATTTGCTAGCTGCACGTCCTTCTTCTAGGTGCCCGTCGCACTGATGAACCTCCTCACTGTTGCTCTCCATGTATCCAGGTGAATCCTCTCTCGCAGTGTGGGTCGCCGCCACCTTGTGCTTCGTTGCGAGACCCCAGCGACCTCTGGCCGCGCTCCCGCGGTTCCGTGTGCTGGAAGTGGGCGAGCGCAAGACTCTCCTCTTGTTCGCCCCGAACCTCAAAGGTGACCCTACATTCCAGAAACTACTGACTTCAAGTATTTATTTATTTCTGTGTGCCTTTTGACGTTTATCGGGCCGACGTGTTTCCCCACTGACGTCCCACCTGATATAGCCGCAAATGCATCCCCCACGGCATCACCTCAGAATAATAGTGTATCGTGTTCGTTTCCGTATTCTCGTTTCGATGTCCCAAATCAGTCCTGGATTATGTCGATGAAAATGCAGGTGAGAACCCTCTTGTCAACAGCCTGGGGGCTTACTGCAGACAGTGTACCGACTCCAATCCTCACGCCTCGATCGCCAACCGCGCCGTCAGCACACGCATCGGCCCCAAACCTTCAAAATGGTCAATCCGTCAAATCAATATATTTCTGATGGCACATGTGTCTCGATGCACCACGGAATACGAACCCACAGGCGGCGACGGTGACGACGCGGAACGTGATGAAGATGACGATAACTTGGATGGCCTCTGATTCCTTTCGGACAACTCCGAGATGAAGGGGAAGCGCCGACTCCAGACCAGCAGCACCACGGCGACGACCAGGAGCAGGATTTTGAGCAGGATAAGGTTGAAGAAGACGGCCAGGAGACTGGCGAGAACAGTCGGCGTCCGGCTGGCTGATGATGCTAGATCATCATCAGCCGTTCTGGCGAGGACCACGACGATATGTATGTGGACGAGGGGGGCACCAATAAAATGTCGTTTTCATTTTTGTTGACGTGTTTCCTTGGGGAATATCGTCTAATAAGAAGTACTGCGGAGTAGAAATAATAACGGACAGACCTTCTGCTGACGAGGAAATATTCCTCCAGAGGTTTGTTGTTTAACAAATCCTTGCAGATGGTGGTATTGTGTAATTCTAACCTCTCCATGGATATAAGAGTTTGTACTGCTGCTGTACATGTAGCCGGTCTTCTTCTTCCTCCTGTAACCTGTAGCTAGCTGTGTCAAGAGGCCCTCCATATAGAAATCTTGGAAGGTACGGGTCAATCTTGGTCGCGAGGAGTGGGGGGGTCTATTGTATGGTATAGGATATAGTATGCATATGACGATACTAAAGCCTGTACAGGTACATAAGAGTATTATATGGGCTTTAGAATGCGGCACAAAAGCCTATACAATGAAGCGTGCATTGGTTTTACTGCTGTGGACACGCTAAATCCTACTTTCAGTAGACTGCTGCAAGTGACCCGCCTAAAGTGGCTATCCTGCGTGTCAATCTTGGCCCGGGGCGGGGTGGGGGTGGGGGTCCACGGTTTCTACATGGAGGGCCCCTTGGCTGTGTAGACAGGGTGTAGAGAGCTTCCAGCGGGTTGTTGCCTCAGAACCAAGAACTCGGGTTGTTACAAACACCGACGGGTAGTGTGTGTGTGTATCTGTCAGGGATAGATATTACATAGTCTTTGCATCTATATGCTTTTATGCAGTATGTAACATAAGGTTATACGCCAACCTAGAGGCAGTTTATTCACTATACTCTCGTCTGCAGAGGGGACTTCCCAAGACAAAAGAGGGAACACAATATGATCATGATCCCTGGCGATGCGATCCGCGGGAATAAATAGCAGCTGATAAATAGTTGGATCCACGTGGTACGATCCGCGCGAATAAATAGTTGGATCCGTGTGTGTGTACAGATCTCCACTACCTGTAGACGCTCCGAAGTACGTTTCAACCACTTTATTGAGATTTGGAGATAACCCGACCGGCCAACCGGGCATCTGCCCCACAACTTGTCCGTTGTTACCGCCCCAGCTATGGGAACAAAAAGTAGATACAAGCAATAGCGTAGCAGCAGTGACTTCAAGTTCGGAAAAAACGAAAAAACGGCAAGATACCAGCCTACAGCGGGTGCGTCCCATGTCCCACACGTATTTGTCCGAAGGAGCAACGGCCACACGTAATTGTCCGAAGGAGCAACGGATCACGGATTATTTGCTTCGTGGTTGGCGCTTCCCAGGACAAAGATATGTTGTACGCAATATATGATTCATCCATCAACAATAAACCCCGACTCTTGGGTGCTTGAACCCAGCCGAATGCCGTAAAACTCACCCCAGCCCCTGACCACAAACCAAACCCACACAGCATACGTGCAAGCTTGGCGCTGCGTTGAGTTCTGTAGGTTGGTGTGCTGTCGGCTGGTGTGTGTTGATGGGTTAATTCTGCAAACTTCTATACTATGGTGTGCCCGCCGATAGACAAGTGCGAGGTTGGCGTTGATGCGATGAAGCTAGGTTTGGCATCGGTTTTGGTGTTGCCTACTGCTTGGATAGGTGCTAGGGCGGTTCCCACACCATGGGTGGTGTACACATACAGCAGTAGAGCCTAGAGGTTGGCGCTGGGTGGGACACACATGTTTGATAATGTTCTGGGTTTGGCCTCCACCAAGAAACTACCCCGAAAATCTTGTCTCTTTCGTTCCATGACCAGAACCCTACCGCAAGCGGTGCAACTTCTGCTGCGCGGTAAACGCCCGCTGCTTGCTGCCGCTCTCCTCTCTCCTCTCGTGTTTTGTCTGACAGGTTCGCCTCTTATCACGCACGACACAGCGCTGCAAGACCAAAGGTTGACCACCGGTACTTCCTGACGACCGTTCCTATATGCTCCGTGTCGTAGTGCGCATTGCTACAGCAGTACACCTGTCTGCCTGGCTTTGTGTTCAGTGTGAGCTCAGCCAGCAGGATTCATTCGTTTTCTGCCGGTTGCTCCTTCAACAATCTGGGCGGAGTCAGAACGCGCCGGCATCATCTAAAATATCTTGGGACGACAGAGGCAGTGCCCTCCCTCGCGACTCCACACCAATACCGTTCCTGGCAAGTCGAGTTGTCCGCCAGCCACGGCCCCGCACAAATCGCGTCGGAGATCGGAAAACCTTCCGCCCGCGGTGGAGACGGCAACGCCTCCAAGAATGAGGTCCACCGACAGCCTTCTGGGCGTCCCTGCGACTCTTCACGCTGGTACAGGAGAAACGATCTTAAAGGAGGAAGAGCAGCAGCAACAGCAGCAGCAGCAGCGGCAGCCCCGGTCTACCTCCCGGTCCAAGACAGTCGCTCTTCTCGGGGGGCTGCGCGGGATGATGGCGCGGTCACGGTCTTCAGGCAACAAGGGCACGGCGGCGGCGGCAGGATCGGCGGCGGCGGGAACCAGATCTCCAGATCTTTTCGCGGCCGAAGACGCTGAACACTTGGCGGCAAACACCGCGGCGAACGTGATCAACCACGACGACCCGACCACCTACAACAACATCTTCGAAAATTCGCCGCCGCGGGGCGTGTTCTCCGCCGCCTCCTGGCCGAAGGCGGCTGCGGCAGCGGGGAGCTCGGCCAGCGGTAGCAATCAGTGCGGAGGGCGGTCGTCCCACCGGGGGAGGCGCGAGGAGAACTTCCACGCTGCCATGGACAACAGGCTGGTGTACATGGCGTTCTCATCGTTTTGCAACAAGAACTTGTCCTCAGAGAACGTGGAGTTTGTCCTACAGGTGAGCGTGTGCGTGCGAGGCGGGCGGGGCGCGCCGAAAACGCTCGTTCCTCTTGTGCAGAGTAGTAGATTGGTTCTTCGCGAGCGGACTACGGCTTGGTGATTAGGCTATGCAATGACAGCAGTAGTAGTCGTGTATGCGATACAAATAAATGCGTGAAGGAGTTTGCAGGTTGGTGTTAATTCCGCTATGTAGACCAACCACTTATCCTAATCCTGCTGTACAGCAGTACTCTCACCAACCACGGGTGCGGTAGAAAACAACGGAAAGCGGAGAAATGCCGAGGGACAACGAATGGCGTCTAGCGTGTAAAATAGACAGCAGTATGTACGTGTACCCTGCGCATGGAGATATGTGTGATAGACAGAGCCAGATTCAGAGATAGAGTGGCGGCGTTTGTTTGCGCTCGGTGCGGTGGAATGCCCGTGGTGGTGATGTGTGTCGAGTGCTCTTTGCATGTTTGCATCTTAAATCTTGGAAATGGCAAACCCCTCATCTATCTCCTCACAGCAGTGGATGGAGCAGCCAAGGGCTGTGAAACATCGTCATAATAATCTAGTCTTTCACGGAGGTCTGCAACGGGGACGTGCTCTCCGCCGCGTGGTATAGAAGAGTGACTCTCCCTCTCTCGCATGGGTTGCACGTAATTAAAGATGACACACGGGCTAAGCCCTCCTGCGGGAGGTACTTTGCTTGATGCACACACCTCTCTGCATATAGTAGTAGGCGTGCCTGCGGACTCTTTTCGATTCTATGTTAGCAAACTACATGTAGTACTGCTGTGTATCGTATCTTTTCGCGTCATATATTCGCATACATTCGGCGTGTTCATCCCCTCCAAACTACAGACAGACTGGGTGGTGATATGGAAGTGCCGTGTACCGCACGAGATATCCCAGTGGTGACACTTTGTTTTAAGTAATACGATCACCTCGTGTGGGTGACGTATAGGATACGGCGTGTTCATCCCCTCCAAACTACAGACAGACTGGGTGGTAATATGGAAGTGCCGTGTACCGCACGAGATACCCCAGTGGTGACACTTTGTTTTAAGTAATACGATCACCTCGTGTGGGTGGCGGTATCTTACACAGCAGTACCCGTATGCGGTGTGTTTTGGCTCATGTTAGCGTGAAGAACAGCCCCGCAACCATTCATTCATTCCGTTCGACAGAAATACACCCATCGGGGTTTTTCTCACCCATGGGGACTTTTCGCACCCATCGGTAATAATGTGGTCGCACCAGCAGCGGTGCGAACAAAAGGCAAGAACGTCGTGATTTTCGCAATCATTTGGCACCGGAATTAATTGTGGTCACAGCTGGTGCCATCATACGGATGGTGTTGTATACAGGCACACCGGTGCGATGATGATGTCCCATTATGAGATGCGATGATGGTACTGAACAACGCCGCGAATACCAACAACGAGAAATATGTGATAACGCGGGCGATACGCAGGTACAACAAGATCAATGTACGCACGCGAAGTACTGCTGTGTATATACGACTAACACAAACCTCGCAATAATCTTTAACCCCCGAGACAGGGTTGATTGGCATACTGCGTGCAGCAAGAGAGACCCCTCGCTGTGTTTCACTCGACATCGCCCCTGTAAATCGGAATTAGTCGCACCAGGGTTTTGCTATCGAAAAGCTAGAACGGCACGATTTAATAATAATGTTGTGGTTTTCACTCCATTGCCTGATGGCGCTGTGTGTGTCTGGCCGGGGACGTTGCCAGGGTTGCGCACCGAAGTGACAACCTGCCGATAACACCTCTCTTCGTACACCCCCGTCCAAATCATGCGTGTAGCCAACGACGGTGCTCGCAATGCGAAGATACGTCGTGTTTTATCTACACACCAGAGTCCCCGTAGAATTGCAGTGCCCACCAGTACATTTCGTTGTCGCTGCATGTGCACTTTTTTGCCACCCTTGCCCCGCCGGAACCCAGGAATGCACTAAATGTTTCACCTCTATCTCTCTCTCTCGTCGCCCGCCCGCACCCATACACAGGTCCGTGAGGTGAACCAGCTCTTGGAGATGGAGGAGACCACCGCGGGCGACCTCCGAGAGAAGCTCCGCCAAGTCGCGGTCGCCTTCGTGAACCCGAACAGTGCTACCGAGGTGAACGTCAAGGGCTCCACGCGCGCGAGCGCACTCTGCGCCATCGGGGCGGCCCTGGAGGCCGCCGGCCATGACGGCTGCTGCTGCTGCGGCGGCGGCGGCGGCGGCGGCGGGAGGGGTAGCGCGGGAAAGGAGAGCTGCTGCCCTGGGACCTCCTGCGCGTGGGCCCTGGCGGAGGAGGCCATCGAGGCGCTGGCGCGGCTGGCGGAAGAGGTGCACTCGGTAATCTTCGACGGGCTGTGGCCGCGTTTCCTGGTGTCAGAGGAGTTTCACGCCATGATGAACATCGAGGTTAGTGTTGCCAGCATCGCCGGCTGACTAATGAAAGCACGACTTTGTGTTTCATTGATTTGCATCGACCGCCCTAACCGGATGACCTATATCTCTATCTCTGTGTCTGTGTTGGGTTTGGTGGGGTTGTGGTTTTGTGGTTTGATCGAGGGTTCTTTGTGATCGAGGTCCTTCTGTGGGAAAAAGAAACGATGAGCTCGAATCAATGGCCATCCGGTCGAACGGAAACGCTAGGTATTTTCGGCTTGGTTATTTAGTTGTTTATGTTTGCACAGCGGCGCCGATACTCGGCAGCTGGACGCAAATATGCGGTCTACCGTGTCGAATGCTTTGTGAGGGAAGCTCCTCCCACGGCCTCGGCTGTTCCCGGAATAAATTTGATCAGAAAATTGGTGGGCAATAGTTTGTCCAAAGGTAAGTGTCACGTACATTTGGTTGCCCTAGAAACAGCGCGGCGTCCTCAAAGCAGGTTTTCGCTGAATCTCTGTCGCTCCTCCTGTACTCGTTTCTGTTCACGGCTGAGAGAGCACCTCTTGTAGGTGTTTACCGTCTGACGACGGTCTTTTTTCTTTCGTGTGCAAGCCTTGCTAGAAAAACGTAAGAATATCCTCCAACTTGGGGCCCCCTCCCCCACGGGCTGTTCCATGGAAAACTCTCGATATCATTCCAGGAAATGCGCAGGGTCGGCTTCACAGACCTGGACGGCAAGGTTGTCGTCCGCCCGCTCGCATCGCAGCAGCAGCAGCAGCCCTCTTGGGAACGAAGAACAGGCATGGGGGGAAGTTCATCGTCGATGGCAAGCAAACGACACCTCTCGTCGAGGCTGGTCTCGTCGATCAAAGGGCTGGGGAGCAGCGGGGGCGGGTCGGGCATTGCGGGGTGGGGAGGAGGAGGGGAAGGGGCGGAGGTCGCGTCGGCCGCGACGGCGAGCAGCGGAGGAGGCGTGCACGGCGACTGCGAGAATTATCCTCCTCCCCCGACCAAGACGCCGTTTGCCGCCACGAGCAGGATGTTCAGCAGCAGCAGCAGCAGCAGCAGGAGCGGCGGCCTGAGCACCGGCAGCTGTGGCGATGTCGTGAGGGCGAGAAGGACGGTCGAAAACGCCACCACGCAGGCGCCACCAACTACCGCGACGGATCGGCTCCCGCTAGGCGGACGCCGCAACTTCGGCCTGCCGGCTCTCCGGTCTTCGTCGGCGACCTCCTCCTCCTCCTCCCGCGACGGCGGTGGCGGCGGAGCCGTGGGCATCACGTCCACCATGCCGTGGGCTGGGTACCGGCTCGGTGGATCGCTCCGGATGGCGCGAGGCAGGGCCATGTGAAACGGCGGTGTTGCCGGCAGCGGCTGCGGCTCCTCGTCCTCCCCCCCCCGGTGTGCGACTCACCGGGCCTCATGTCTTCGCTAATAGTTAGTCCAAGGTGGTGGCCGATCCTCCTTGTTGTTGTACGGTCTCTTGTGTACTGATCTGGTTAAGCATTAGACGGCGGTTGTACATACATGCGTTTTGCCACCTCGCAGCGACACGAACACAGGCGATTTGGCGCGCTCCTCTTTCTCCATAGACCATAGCCCATCCTTGTATCCCCCGGACGTAGTGGTCTACCCTTTCGCCCGACATCCTTGGTGCTGTTGTCCAAGGGGTTGATGAACGTTGGACACGTTGTACTCTGAACGATAAGTCAGTTGTGGAAGGTTTCAATTATGTCCTTCCTTCGGGGGAATGGGCTCTGGATTGGTCCGCGGACCTTGCATCTTGTGTTGTTTGGTGTAGCTCTTTGTTGCCGAGAAGGCGGTGTGCCGGGAGTGTTTTCTGTCGGCGGGAGGGTTGAAATGAGTTGTGACAGCCACCAGCCTTCGCCATTTACAATGTTTTGGGCACTACTGCGGTATGGGCGAGTTTCGTTGGATGTGGGCTATGCGCCTGCTGCCGTTGCCCCTCCTGGCCTAAAGAACTATTAGGCGATGAGAGGGCATCCGGCCGTAATCAGGTTGGATATTGTGTCGTGTTGTTGCTTTTATTCTCGACGAAAAGGGGTAGACGCTTTGGGGGGGGCGGAGGCTTGCTTCCTTATCGCTACTGCAATATACAATATTTCAGGGCGGGGTCGTGGAGTACACGCAGGTCGGCGTCTGTACAACCTATGTGTAGAGAGGACAAGGGGGCTTGCCTGTTGTGAGGAAGTTTTTTTTTCCTCGTTCAGAGGGAGCTTTGGTCTGGATTGGATTGGTGTTTGTTACGAGAGGACTGGGGAGAGGGGGGGGGGCGATTACTTGCCACTAGAAGAGTGATGCAGAGGGGGAGGGAGAGATTAAAGCAGTAGTGCGTGAATTACGTTCGCCCGCTATGTGATGGAGCTCCCAGAGCGGAAAGGTTGTGTGTTGCATGTTTATCATCAGACCTTGTATTTGTGTGCTGTATATTGTTTTGCCGCCTTTCGTGGTACCACGATGGTTTTCTGTGCAAACGGTAGCGCCTGCCAGACCACAGTGTGGCGCTACATACGAGTGGCGAGCTTTTTTTTTGCGTGTTTTACATGCCCACGCTGCTCTCGGTATCGGCTGGTTGGCAAGGCCGGCTTCAATTCGCGTGCTCGAGTCGCCTTACACGTTGGCGTCACAAGCGTAATTACGTCATGGATGTGCATGTGTGTGCGATTATTCATAGGATACGGAGTAATCTTGTATGGGTATGGAAGGGGGGGGAGAGTGTTCCCCCGTCTACGTAGGCTTTCAGCACAGCGGCAACGCCTGTATAGATCTTGTGTTGCTAGCACCCGGGTTATCTTGTGTTCCGAGCAAGTCAGCCTGTTGGCTGGCTTGGTTTAGTAGCATGTTGGCGTAGATCTGCCATATATGGTTTATATTTTAGTTCCCATTAAGAATTGTTGTACGTCTAAGGTGTGGGGGGCGTGCATGTGTGTATACGTCGGTCGTCATGTTGCGGTATTCTAGAGGCCATCATGGCTTGGTTGGCCGATTTCATGCTCTGCTGTAGCAAGATTCACTCCCACTGCAACGTACTCAGAACTGTATATTGATAACAACTATTGAATACAATTCAGCAACAAGTTACCTTTGGTGTTTTTCGGATAATATGTGTATCTCCCGAGCGGGGGGGGGGTTGCCAAGGATTGAAGGGGCCATAGACTCCTCCATTCGCACAGTACAATATTAAATCTGCTCGGGAAGATTGGTTACATGTGCCTTCTGGCGCCACCTAGAATGCCAGGAAGCCACGAGAAAGGCTAAACGCGGTGTGCGGCGACAACCAGTCTTACAAGAACCTCATATTTTGCACCGAGGCTCGTTTTCCCTGTGGGGTAACCCAAAATATAAATCTCGACTTTGTGTAGGTTTTTGTCTAGCTTCGTGACTGCGCAACAAGAATCTTGTGATGTCTTGCGTTCAGCTTTTTAGAGCCTGGATAAGGTGTAAGTGTGGCGCGTTCGGTTGTAGGCGTAGCCAGCCGTCGCTCGTTTGGTAGATACTCCGTGGTTTAATATCACTGTTCGTACCACTTCGCAGTGCCAGGCAAAAAATCGATGCTGCGTGCTGCCGAAATTTGCTTGTAGTTTCAAACTCACTCGTTGTACACGATATTGGGGTAACTCGCGCGGTAACTACCTAGACTACTTGCTACAATGACCATGCAGCAGTAGTAATAGCAGTAGTAGTGTAGTCTCCTGACTGACTTCATGAAGCAAGATATACCTGGGGTTTACCCGCGTATATATACCGACAGCCTGATACCTCACCGTCTTCTTTTTAGAAATATATATAAAACACAGAAAGACTATTGTATCCGTCTTTGCTCGAGACCAAACAAAACGGAAATCTAATCTTCACGGTTGAGTCGGGAAAAGTAAGTGTAGTCAGTAGCATTCACCGGCTGGTATGTATGTAGAAGTATCTCCTTGATTTGATTTGAAGACCAATCTCCACAGATTTGAGTGTCGCTGCTGGATGGTCTACCTACAGAGGTTTGGGTTGCTCCTTCTGTTCAAAATAGGCACACCACCGATGTCTTGTGGGTGTTTCTCTCTTTCCATCTCGCTCTTGCCTCAGATAACCTTCTGTTGTCCTCTCTCTTCCTCCCACGCCGCAACAAATGAAACGGAACAAACGTAACGTGAGAACCATAATCCTGATGCTGGATCTTTGGAAACCCCGAAAGATTGGTGCCTCCTTGTTACAGTGCGAAAACGTTCCATGAGACAGGATCTTCGACCAAAAGTTTCCGCAAGAACGTCACTAGCCGACTTAATCGAATCTCCAGCGCAAGGACCTTCAATATACCCCGTTCAGTCCCGTCTTGTTTGGGCAGTGCAAGTCCCTCTTGATGTTGTTACGGTTTCTTTCGAAGAAAGAGGCGAGTCATGTCTGGAGGTATGAATATTCGCGACGAAGGGGGCGCCGGTGTCGCGCTTAGGCCTAGGCCTGTCGAACAATCTGGCAAGTTCAGCAGCATCCTGGCATATTTGGATCACGTATCAGACGATGTGCCGAGGCAACACCGCGGCCAGCGGATCAACGACCACGAAACGGTTCGGATGGGTAGTGGTTCGTCGTCGCCGTCGTCGATCTCATCTTCAGAGCAACAACAGAGTCGGAGACGACCCCGACGGCAGCTGAGAGGGCCTTCGCAATCATCCTACCGCCGTAACAGCGGAGTGTCCAGGGCTTCAGCTGCTGGAACCCAGTCCCCGTGGAACATCTCGGTCAAGGACGACGAGACGCCGACGGCGACATCACCGGCACCTCCTGAGCGCAGCACTTCATGTAGAGCGAGCGGTGGTCACGACCCACGCGGTCCACCCTTTGGCGTACATGACACCACGGGTCGAGATAATCAAAATAGGACGGCGTCGACCCCATCCGCGAGAAGCCACCCTCGCCGACACGTGGTAAACCACCGTCGTTTGTTGGGTGTCCGCGGGGGTTTCCTGTCTGTACCTGATGCCAACCACGTAGCCGGCGGTGGCGAGTGGAGCAATGTTGACGACTCTGTGGAGGAGGCACCAGACGACAGAACTACAACAAGAGCAGAAGCTGCAATAGCTACCGTTGGTGGGAAAGCGCACCGGCAGCGATGGGTGTGGGATGAGTGGGACGACAACGAAGCGGGTACCTCCACCAGTAGCAGAGAGTCGAAGCAACCAGTGGCGCCGCGAGCGTCTCTATCGGAGAAAACGTCGCCCGGTCGTGCTTCCAACTCTTCCTCCGCTACCCCTGACAAAATTTCGCAACCTGTGGCTGACCACGACCGGACGACGCGGTTGTCGACTTGGGGCCGGGACAAGGACAGAGCAGCGACTAATGCTGATGGTGGTGAGGCCACCCCGGCGGCGATGAAGGCGTTCGAGGACGTGCAGGCCACCGCACGGGCAATGAAAGTGGATCTCAAGGAGAGGAGATCCGAGGTGTGCAGATTGTTGTTCCCCAGTGTAATGTTGTTTTACAGGATGGTGTAGTATCATTATTTTTTCTGAATGCGGCAGATCAAACTAGGGGACAGGAGAGTGTCGACTACACGGGTATCAAACGGTCTTGGAAGGCGATGTAGTCTTGCGTGTGGAGGAAATACTGCTGTACCTCTTGTTTCGCCCTCCGTGGATGGCCGCTTCTTCAGTTCCTGCAAGAAGATAGCTGTAAGTCCCATTCAAATAGCATACGAGGTACCAACAGAGTGACACCGCTCACAACAACAGGTGCTAGATCTCAAGACGAACCTGCAGCGCGTACGAGCTTCCAATGAACGCCGCCGGGCGAAGGTGTCTGAGCGGTGGGCGGCGAGGATGGCAGCGGCCGCTGAGGAGAGGGCGGCGGCGGCGGATCGGCACAGGGCCTTCGCGCGGCAGCTGAAGGGTGACGTGGACGCCTTGGAGGAGAAGCTGGGTGGTCTAGAGAGGCAGGCGAGTTTGTTTCGGGTTTGGTGCAGCAACAGCAAGTAGTGCTTGTGTATACCTCCCTGCGTTTCTGATGCTACTACTGGATGGACATGTATGTGTTGTCAACTGTTTCTATTGCCAAGGCATGCAATATGCGAAGCATCGTGCCAGGCGTGCAACCCTCACCATGGCCGACTACATGCCAACCAAAGTGTCGCTCGTCCGACCGATCAATCAACAGGTCGGCCGCTTCCGTGAAGGCAGAGACCGGGACTGCGTCGTAGCCAGGGCGGAGAGCGCGCGGGAGCTGAAGAAGGCGCGAGAGGCGTGGATGGCCGCAGAGAAGGTGGGGGGGGTAGGCCACTCTTGAGCATTTTGTCCTCTCATTGTGTGGCCTAGAGTAGAGCATGTGAGATATGAGACATCATCTATCCAATGGACTACTCAGGCAACAGGATTTGTTTCCGAGGAAGCGAATATATAAAGTATGCCTTCCCGTACGCCAGCGCGAACGAACAGAAAGAATGAATAGGGTACGTAGAGAAGTTTTATGTAATACCGGAATGAGGAGTCCGGGGGGAATTGGCTAAAGTAGAGGTCAAGAAGTGTGCATGTAAAGAAGGAATAGGGTTCAAGGAGTACCTACATGGACCAATGGATGCAGGGACGAAGCTGAAGGTCAACTTCAGGACCAGGGATATTGGTCTTCGAGAACGTAGACGAAGATTTTGGGAGGTAGACGATGAAGACAACACGTTCAAGTTCAAATGTGATTGCGGCTTAGAGTGCGAAGACCGTGTTCATGTAGTTGCGGAAAGTCGGTTGTACAAGTAGAGGCAAGTGTACATGACTGAGCTGGGAGAAGCCGAAGGAGGGTACAGGGAAATACTTGAGGCATGGAATAGCCAAGAGAAGAAGGTAGCTGTACTGGGGCATAGGAAGTGGGTTGAAAAGGCGGGAAGTGATATCGATAGGATAGAGAGATTAGGGAAGACATTTTTGAGCCACCTTTGGCAAAGTAGGAAGGGAACGATTGGCCATCGGTGATCGGTCCTGTGGGAACAATGCTCCGTCCTCTCGAGGACGCGTGGTCAATGGTCTAACCGCTATGGCGTGCAAAACAATAAGAGTACTCCCCCCCCACACACACACACTCCAGCGCCACCGCGATGGAAGAAGAGAGGGAGATAGAGGTACGAAGAGGGCTACACAACCTGTCGCAAAACGAAGCATAGTGGCAGTATCCAAAGCAATGCTGCGACTGTTACCAAACGAACGCACGCATGCTGTTCCAGCGTCCACACACATGAGCGCGACTTCGACGTAGAAGAACATGGAGAGGGTTTCTCCACTGTCCAGTCGAGGACTCTGCGCCCCACACCCTATTTTTCTTCGCAGAATACAGTAAGACACACGAACGATAGCTCAAGCGTAGAACGCGCGACACATCTTGTCTACACACCTACACACACGTACATACGCGCAGCGCGAGGCACGCGCCACGAGGAAGATCCTAGTGTGTGTATGTGTGTGTGTGTTGAATCCCGGATCGTAGGTCCTCCGGTCTGGAGATCATCGTATTTGATACCACACACAGGTTTGGCAGAAAACAGCAGCAACAACAACGACGAAACGTTTCCTGTTGATTCGCGCAAATTATTGGGCGACCAAAACGAAGAAAAGTAACCACGACGACGACGACGATGACGACGATGACGACGACAGGCCGTAAAGTTGAAGGCGTCTGAACCGTTTCCATACACACACATGCCACGTTTCACAGGGGCGGCTCCAGCGCTTGTCCGAGAAAAAGGCCGGGGCCATCAAGCAGGCGGCGGTGCGGGCCCTGGAGCCGCAGCTAACGGAGCTAGTGAAGGCCAACAGGGCGGAGGCCAGGGCGCGGGCGGATGAGCTGGGGGAGGTGCTGCTGGGCCTGCAGGCCTCGCTCGAGCGAGAGAGCTCCGAAAAGGTTGGCTAATGTGGTTCGCTTGTTCTCTTGGGGCTGGCTTGTATTGGGTTTCTTACTGCTAGCCTCGCTGGAGCGGGAGAGAGAGAGAGAGATTGCCGCCGACGAGACTCTTGGCGTTCTGGTTCTTTTTTCTTTTGCGATCCTCCCGCCGGGGGACACGAGAGCGAGCACACCGACACGGGTTTTGCGATACAATTTGAAACACGAAACTGCTCTGCTATCGCAATGCGTACGTTTCGTGCCGATGCGTGAGGGCTTCTTGTTGGGGGGAGGAGGGGGCAGGTACAAAAAAACACATTCATTTGTCGCTTTTTCCTTCAGTAGTACTCTTGGTCGTTGTCAGACCAGTGATTACCGGCATTCCACTTTGAGCCGGAGCGACACCACCGTTATCGTAGAGCCCCCCCAAACCCGGCAGAATCTTTTCCAAGCGCGCTAAGCTAATATCGTTGTTGTTGTTGTTGCCGTGTTCCCTCGCCCCTGATAACTTACGATGCTGCGGGGGGGGGGGGGGTAGGTGCAGATGGAAGCCCGAGACTACCAGCTCTCGTTGGAGGGAGAGGTGGAGGAGGAGCGGCGCCAGGCGGAGCACCAAGTGAGGCTCCTCGGCAGGAGCAACGAGGCGGACATCCAGGAGGTACATGTGGCAGTGTGGCAAAGCAGTACCGCCGTGCGTGTTCGTGTGTCGGAAACGTTGTCGTCGTTGACGGTCACCCAAGCCTTCGCAACGCTTGGGGATTGTAGACGACAGGTGTGGCAATGTGCTCTGGTCAATCGCTTTTCGTTTCGTCTAGAGAAACAGTTAGTTCTTCCTCAGAAACCGTCCATCAATCCTCTGCCGTTTCATTGTTGCGCTCCCTCGATCACTCACCATCCTCTTTCCTCGTAGCCACAACGGTCGTCCACCAGAAAGTCCACCACACACACACACGCGAACGACATTTCCACTCGTGAATCAACATGGACGCGTTCTTCTTTCTCGGCCACGCGGCAAGCGTTGACACAAACAAACGCTGAATGAGTAGTAGGTGTCGACAAATTCGTCGTGTGCATGTCGTTTCAACGAACACTGCCTAAAAGCAATCATCATGGTCACATATACGCTACTTGGCGTGGCGCATACATTCGACTCGCTTCATTTCTCCCACACTCTACTTTTTCGTAACCAGCCGGCACCCACTCGGCAGACCCTATCAACACTCGTTGTTAATCTTACAAACAAACACTGAGCAAAAAAACGAGCATAAACCCTCCTCAAACACCCCGAGCAACACACCTACACCGATCTACCGTGAGAAGGGACAGACTCCCCGAACAGCATCAGCACACACCAGAAAAACGAAAGATTAAGAATAGCAACGCATTACCCATAACCACGACAGCAGTGTTCTCCACTCCCCATGTACAGTTTCGGGAAGCGACACGGCGAGATCTAGAGGGAGAGCGGGTCCGGTTCGAGGCCGGGCGGAAGCGGGCGAGGGAGGCCGCGGGTAAGGAGCTGGAGGGGGCCAGATCTGCAGAGGCGAGCCGGGCAGCCTTGGCGGCAGACGAGCACGCCAGAGAACTCCGAGGGGTGAGGGATCGTCGTCGTCATGGTCTTTGTTGCTGGTGCTGCCGTTATTGTGGTGGTTGTTGTTGTTGTTTGTTGTTGTTGTTGTTGTTGTTGTTGTTGTTGTTGTTGTTGTTGTTGTTGTTGTTGTTGTTGTTGTTGTTGTTGTTGTTGTTGTTGTTGTTGTTGTTGTTGTTGTTGTTGTTGTTGCTGTTGTTGTTGTCGTCGTTGTTGTTGTTGTTGTTGTTGTTGTTGGTAGTGGTGGTGGTGTTTGCCGCTGTCACCCACAATCCGTCTTGATTTGTCCGGGAGCTCAAGTCAAACCATGGACAGGCTTGATTGCCCGCTTGGAGATTAGTTCGAACCAAAGAGTCAGCCTTGCTTCTAATGATGGTCCTGTTCTGTCCAAGACCAAGACTTTGTTGCCCTCGGGAATGAAAAGGCTTTGCACTCCGTTGCTAATTCCCACAGGTGCTTGATCCGGCCCATTGCTATTAATTTTATGGTAGCTTGAACCAATAGTGTAAATTGTGCTTCCAGATCGAGGAGGCCCATCGGCAGGAGGAGGCGGAGGCTCGCCGGAGACTAGCGGAAGAGACGGGTAGATGGCAGAAGCAGGTGCAAGCGTCAGCGCGCAAGGGGGCGGAAGAGCACGACGAAATTGCGAAACGCGAGGCTAGAGAAAAGGTGTGCCGTATGTTGGCCGCGGTTCGGCAAGAGCGGGGGGGGGCGACATATCCGACGCGTTGTTTGGTGGGGGGGGTGCTCAAATGTATCAACATCTTTCGTGATCGTGGGTGCATGTTGCCATAGACCATTCCAGAATCCCTTATCTGCCGGAGGTTCAAGCGCCGTGCCTTGAAGGTTTGGGGTATAGACCAAGAGGAACTCTCGCAGAGAATAAAAATTTCACGTTGGCACTTGGAATGGGGTTGAGAGTCCTCTAATTTCACTCCATTTTCATTGGGCGGCCTGTCGAGATGAGACCGGCGGCGACGCATCTCCGTTGAGACAACGCATCGTCCGGCGGTGTTTCTCCGACGAGTTTATCCCGGTGTTGGGGTCCTCCATCGATGCACTGCAGCTGCTTTGTTATGGAGTCTTTTGCTCACGGACCACACAGCACTATTTTGCATCTCCCGTGTCCCTCCCCTCCAGCCCCTCCTTCCCTCTCCTGGCCGGTACCCAGTAAAACAAA